ACCCGAGGGCGAGGACTGGAACGAGGTCGACATCGCCGCGCGGCAATGAGCGCGCGCGGGGGGGGGGCCGGCGGCTAAGCCCGGAAACATTGAACTACAAGTTGGCAAGGTTTTGTTGAGGCGCCGCTTTACAGCAAGTGAATCGTGCGTCGGGCGCGCAAGTTTGCACGGAAGACGTACAGCTTCAAGGGCCCTTTTGATCGCTGTGAGGCAAATCTCGTGCCCGAAGCTTATGTGTGGCTGACTCGAGTAAGCGAAAACGCCATGGAAGAGATCGAGACGGTGAAGGCGGCGAGCCGCCTCCAGGGCCCGGGACAGCGCGAGGAGGCCGTGAACCGGCTCCGGGGCCTGGAGACGTCCGGGCGCAACCTCTGCGCGCAGCTCGGCCTCGACTCGTCCCAGGAGGGCCTGGGCCGCATCGGCGGCAAGCTCGCGGGCCACATCGGCGAGAACCGCTACATCGTGTCCTACGCGACGGACAACCGGTCCAAGTGCCAGAGCGTCGAGTGCCGCCAGTACCTGCGCTGCGGCGAGACGCGCATCGGTGCGCCCCCCTTTCCCCTCGACGCCGCCCGCCGCCCGCCGCCCCGCCCCGACGCGGACCCGCCCCCTCCCGGTAGGCAAGCAGCCGCCGAGCGTGCGCCTCGGCCACGGCAAGACGCGGTGGTACCACCTCGACTGCGCGTTCGTCGCGTTCCGCCGCGTCTGCCGCAAGAGCAAGACCATCGAGGCGCCCTCCGACCTCGAGGGCTTCGAGACCATGTCCGAGGGCGACAAGGAGCGCGTGCGCGGGCTCATCGCGGACCACGTCGAGGAGCGCGCGGCCCTCGGGCCGCCGGCGAAGCCCGTCGAGGCCAAAGTCCCCGAGGGCTGGAGTTGCAACTGGTGCGGCCGCGGCGCGCGCGAGGCGCCGTCGCGGAGCCGGGGGCCCGACGGGCCCCAGACGCTCTGCGGGTCCTGCAGCCAGCGCTACCGCCGGGGCGCCCTCGGGCCCGAGCCCGAGGGGTCGCTCTGCAGCCGCTGCGGCGCGGGCGACATCCGGTTCCTCGCGAACAGCGATCCCGACTACGTCTGCGGCGACTGCGAGCTCCTGCCGCCGATGCCGCGGGCGCCGCGCGACGACCGCGCGCCCCAGCACCCGCGGCGGCCGCCGCCGCCGCCGACGCCCGCGGCCGACGGCGCCGCGTGCCTCTGGTGCGGCGCGGACGACGACGTCGCGCGGTTCCGGCGCCACGAGTGATTCAAGTTCGCTTCAACATGAGTGTTCCGCGCGCGCGCGTTCCGGAAAAAGCATCCACGCGTCGAGAGCGCTCCCAGAGACGATCGCTCGTCCAAAAGTTAGCCGAAACGAGTGGAAATCGACCGAGATAGGAGCCTCCAAAGTTGGAAATGTCGCACTCTTTTCCTGCCCAGGCGCGGTTCCGGCGCCACGAGCGGTCCGCGGCGCTGAGTTTGTGCGGTACCTGCGGCGACCGCTACCAGCGCGGCGCCGCGGGGCCCACGGGCATGGACCAGAGCGGCGAGTGCGACGCGGGCGGCGCGAAACACGTCTACGTCGCGTCCGTCGCGCAGGACGCTGTGTGGAAATCAACCACTGGTTTGGGAAGTCCCCACCAAACTTCAGAACTCTCTATCTCGGCCAATTCCAAGTCGATTTGGCTGATTTTTGGACGAATCGATTGCTCTCGTCGCGTTCTCGAAGCACAGCGAAAGAGTCCGGTCCAAACCGTTCGATTACGCGCACATTGAAGTCGGGTTGAAGATTTGAATCCACACAGGCAGGACGGCCGGTCCAAGTGCCACTTCGGCGCGTGCGCCGAGCCGAAGATCCACGCCGGCGCGTCGCGGCTGGGCCGGCGGCCGCCGGCGTCGCGGCCCGGGTCGTCGCCGAAGACGCAGTGGTTCCACCTCGAGTGCTACTTCCTGTCGACGCGCGCGGCGGGCCGCCGGGCCATCGGCTCGCTCTCCGACGTCGCCGCGGGCCTCGGCCAGCTGCCCGCCGGCGACCGGGCGCTCCTGGGGCAGCTCGTCGAGGCCTACGCCGCGCGCGCGCCGCGCCGCGACGCCGCGGCGGACGAACCGGCGTCGGGCGGCGACGGGCCGGCCGCGGCGCCGCCCGAAACCGCCGCGCCGGACGTCGACGACGCGCTGCTCGAGCGCCTCGCGGAGATGCCGGCGCCGACGCCGGCGGAGGCGCGCGCGGGCCACTGGGCCGAGGACGAGCACGCCAAGTTCCTCGCGGGCCTCGAGACGTTCGGGAGGCGCTGGGACCGCGTCGCGCGCATCGTCGGCACGCGGACCATGTCGCAGGTGCGGTCCCACGCCCAGAAGTACTTCAAGCGCGCCGACGCGCTCCGCGCGCCCGCGGTCGTCACGCCCGCGGCGACGCCGCCGCGCGACCGGCCCCGCGGCCGGGACGACGACGCGCCGCCGCGCGGCGCCGCCGCCGGGCCCGCGGCGCGGCGGCCGGGCGGCCGCACGGGCCTCTACGAGTCGCCCCACGCGGCCGCGCGCAAGCGCCGCCGCCTCGAGGACGCGAGCGGCCTCGAGGCGCTCGCGTTCCTCGCGAGCGAGCGCGCCGACGTCGTCACGACCGTCGACGGCTTCGACGTCGTCGAGCAAGCGGCGCCGCGCGCGTGCGCGCCGTCGCGGCGCCCGCGCCACGCCTGCTGCGGGCCCGACTGCGTCTTCCGCGAGGTCGCGCGGTGGAAGCCGCCCTGCGACGACCTCGACACGTCGAGCTCGAGCTCGGACGACGACGAGGCGCCCGAGCCGACCGCGGCGTCCGTGACGAAGCGCCGCTCCTACAGCGACGGCGACGAGGCGCCGCCGAAGCCCGAGCGGCCCCTGCCGGCGAAGCGCTCCCGCGTGCCCTCCCAGAAGGCCCTCGAGAACGTCGTCTAAGCGCGATTCCTGAACGTCGACCGTCGCCGCGGCGCGACCCCCGGCGGCGAGCGCCGGAGAGATGCCCAGGACCCGACTGCCGTCGATCGATGGGTGGAGCCAAATTGCAGATTTTGTCGTGACGCCATGGGTGCGCGCTCGCAGCAGTACGGCTACGACGGCTACGACAGCTACGACGGCTACGGCTACGGACACGCCTACGCGTCGCGCCGCGCGTCGCCGCCGGCGCTCGTCCCCGAATGGGTCTGGAAACTCGGGTCCATGCTCGTCGCCGCCGCCGTCGTCTGCTTCGGCTTCTTCCTCGTGAAGAATGTCAACGAGCTCTTCAAGACGAACCGCCGGTCCAAGGCGCGCGTCGCCCTGCCCACGAAGCCCGCCGTCGAGGACGCCAAGTCGCGGCAGCGGCGCGAGCGCGACGAGCGCAACGCGAGCCGGCGGCGCGAGGCCGACGCGCGCGCGGCGGCGGAGCGCGCGCGGCGGCTCGCGGAGGACGCGGCGCGGGACGAGGCGAAGCGCATGAAGGCCGAGGAGAAGGCGTCGCGCCAGGCCGCGACGATCGCGCTGCGGTCCGCGGCGGCGACGACGGCGCAGCGGCGCTGGCGCGGCGCGCTCGCCGCGCGGTTCGCCGCGCGCGTCCCCGCGGCCCGCTACGTCCAGCGCGCCTGGCGCTACCCGGGCGTGCTCGGCGCGCGGCGCGCGGTTCGGAAGGCGCGGCGCGCGGCGAAGAAGGCCTGCCGCGCCGCGGAGAAGGCGACCGCGGCGGCGGCGGCGGCCGCGCGCCGCGCGCGGACCGGCCTCCTGGCCTGGCCGCTGCAGGCGCGCGTGCGGGCCCGGGTCGCGCGGCGCGTCGCCGCGGCGACGGCCCTGGAGCGCGTCGCGCGCGGCAACGGAGGCCGGGCGGCGGCGGCCGCCGCGCGGGCGCGGGCGGCAATGGACCGGGGCTCGCGCGCGTGCGGCGTCCTCGCGCGCGTCTGGCGCGACCGCCTGCCCCGGCGGCGCCACCTCGTCGAGGCCGCGCGGCTCATCGCGTCCGAGCGCCGCGAGGCGCGGGACCGCGCGCGCAAGGCCGAGCAGCGGCGGCTCGCCCGGGACCGCGAGGCCGCCAAGAAGCGCGACAAGAAGGTGCGGGACGAGCTCGCGCGCGAGGCCGCGGCGGCCGCGCGCCGCGCCGCGGCCGCGCTCTGGTCGTCGCTGCGCCACGGCGACGCGTGCGCGGCGCTCGCCGTCGCGGGAGCCGCGGGCCCGCGCGCGGACCGCGTCAACGGCGTCTACCGCCGGAGCCTCGCGGGCGCGGCGCCGCTGTTCCGGCGCGCGCCGAGGCACGACCGGGGCGTCGTCGCGTCCTGAGTGCAACTCAAATCTTCAACTCGACTTCAATGTGAGCACATGTGAATGTTGTGACACAAGCACTTCCACTGTGCTTCGAGAGCTCCATGAGAGTCATCGATCAGTTCAAAAATCAGCCGAACCGACTTGGATGTGACCGAGCGAGAGAACTTCAAAGTTTGGTCGGGACGTCCCAGCTCACCGGTTGATTTGCACACAGGTCGCGTCCTTCGTCTTCGTCGCGGAGCGCGACGGCGTCGACGCGTGGGTCGTCGGCGACGAGGCGGCCAAGGACGCGCGCGCGGCCCGGGGCTGGGCGACGGCGGCCGTCGCCGCCGTCGGCGCGCCGCCGGCGCGGGCGACGACGTTCCTCGTCTCCGACGGCAGGGGCGGGCTCGAGCCGCAGGTCCTGCGCGTCGCGGCGCTCTCGGCCGCCGAGCTCCGCGCCGACGACGCGGGCGACCTCGCGGCGCGCGCGGCCGCGCGCGCCGCCGGCGAACGCGCCGCCGCCGCCGCCGGCGGGCGCGGGCGCGGGCGCCGCGGCGCCGCGCAGCGCCGCCGCCTCGGCCTCGAGCGCGTCGAGCCGCTGGCGCCGCAGCGTCGCGACCTCGTCCTCGACGGCGCCGAGGCGCGCCGTGAGCTCGTCGATGCGCGCCACGAGGTCGCCGACGATGGCGTCGGAGAAGAGGCGGGTGGCGCGCGCCGGACGGCGCGGCGGCGCGACGAGGCCCGACGTCGTGGCGACGCAGCAGGCAAGCAAGATAAGGATGTTGCCGCCGCTCATCGGTGCGCTGTTGCGGTGCCTCATCGACGACGGCGTCGCGTCCACTTCAACTTCAGCGATTTTACCACAGCATGGGGAGCTTTTGCTGGCTCTCTGAGCGCCTCTAGCCAACCAATTCGCAGCGTCCAGCATCGCCATGGACGACGAGGATCGCATCACGTACGTCGTGCTCTGCGCGGCGGGCCTCGAGGACCTCGCCGGCGCCGACGTCGCGGCGCGCTGCGGCGTCCCCGCGAGTCGCGTCCGCGTCGGCCGCGGCCCGCCGGAGAGCGACCGCTGGGACCCGTCGGCGCCGCCGGGCATCTGGCCCGGCGCCGCGGGCGTCGGGCGGCTCCTCGTGTCGCTGCCGCGGCCGCGCGACGGCGCCGGCTGGGACGCGCGGCGCCGCACGCTAACGTCGCTGCCGTGCGCCGCGGGCCTGCTCGCGCTCGTCTGCGAGGTCGGCGGCGTCGAGGCGTCGCACCACGGCCTCGACGCCGTCCACGCCGCCGTGCGCGGCGCGGCGCGCTGGCCGGACGCGCTCGAGGCACACCGGCGGCACCGGCGGCTCGCGGCCGGCGTGCAAGTACCGTTCCGCGCGTCGGCCGCGCGCGACGGCCGCCACGACTGGACGTCGGAGGACCTGGCCCGCTGCGTCGGCGACGCCTGCCCGAGCGACGCGGCGCTCGCGCCGAATCTGGAGCGCTTCGAGCTCGAGGTCGTCGCGCTGTGCCTGCAGAGCGCGTGCCTCGTGGGCCTCAACCTGTGGCCGCGCGACGCGACGTTCCGCCGGTCCGGCTGCGGCGCGGAGCCGCGGCCCCTGCTGCCCTTCGCGGGCCGCGTGCCGCGCCTCCGGCTGTCGACGGCCGCGCTCATGCTGACGCTGGCGGGAGTCGAAGCCGGCGACGTCGTCCTCGACCCCATGTGCGGCGTGGGCACGATCCCCACGCTCGCGGCGGCGCTGCTCCCCGTCGCCTTCGCTCTCGGCGGCGACGTCGAGCCGGACTCCGTGGCGCGGGCCCGCGCCAACGCGCTGGGCGACCCGCGCGGCGACGACGACGCCTGGCACGCCGACGAGCGCACCTACGCCGGCGGCTCCGGCGTCGCCGAGTGCTGCGCGGTCTGGTCGAGCGATTCGCTCCCGCTCCGGAGTGGGAGCGTCGACCGCGTCGTCGTCGATTTACCCTTCGGGAAGATGCACCAGG